GGCCCGCCAGGGTGCTTACCCTGGCGAGCCGCGTGCCGAACGTTGCCGACCCCTGATCTATACTTAGAGCAGGAACTGAATTATTTCCATCTGTTTATTTTATATCTATCTATCTATCAATAAGGAATACCTTTCAGTATCTTAGGGTCTTATTTTCCTCAGCCAGTCTCGAATCAGAATTTAAATTTTGTCATAAGACTAGTTCCTAGTATCTCTCTCCACTTTTCCCCACAGACAATCAAGTTCTCCTCCCCCTATCAGACGGCGGCCCACCTGGAGTAGGTCATCCTTGGTATGTAATATAGTGGGGTCTTCAATGATAATGCTGGTATTGCTGCTACAGGGATGGGGCAGTACATGAGATGGGACATTTTCTAAAGTTCAAATATATTAATCGACTAGACATTGGCATTCTTGAAACTCATTACTGCCATGTCACCTACAGGAAGTGTGTTAATTGAAATGGAACATATTATTACTACTGATTCTAAAAATTACAGGCCTTGGGGCTTTAATGTTTCTACTTGTCCTGCAAAAATGGAACATCTTTTCTGCAGGAATACAGTGATGTTCAATGGGATTTGTCCTACAGGATAAGAAAACTCCTTAGAGTTTGAAAAATCTATTACTGTATACATAACGGAACGTCAAAACATACATACGCCAAAACCGAATCCTTGCATGATTTTACAGTGTGTTGCCCTGAACCCTTCCTCCATCCTCTATTTTTTGTCACTCTAAGGTGTCAAGTCTGCATTTAGACTGTGAGCTCTTTGTAGTGGGAACTTTATCTTGTTATGCATTTCTGTGAAGTGCCTAATATTTCTGAGTAAAACTTTTATAACCAGTCCATGATTCTGTGAGTCAATATTTTCTTTTTTTGTAAATCCATGCGACTAAGTAGAGCTGCTTACAATTTTTGACAATATTTTTTAATTGAAATTTTCACAAAAAGAGAGACAATTTTCCTGGAAATGTTTGCAAACATTATGTCCCATTTTTCAATCAGCTTTAGGGATAAGCTTTCTTTTGCTGCTACATTTTTCTCCCAGCACCCTTGAACTACCCTAAGAAATATCGAATTCCAGCAGAAAACCTAAGAGAGAATGGCAAGGTGCAACAACATTGCCAATCCCTTCCATAGAGGGCAAAAATTATCATGGCTGTATAAAATGGTTTGCTTGTGAAACAAAAAAAGATTGGCTTCCTTCTTGGCTCATTTCAAGCCCAGTGATGAAGTATAGTTTTCTTGCTTTGTAGCACCTTCCTGAAGTAATAAATCTTATTAGCATATGTCTGTGTAACAGAGTCAGTGTTGGTAGTTCTGTTTTTGACATCTCTTATCCATGCACACCAGCTGTCCCTTCTTAAGATGGGCAGTCCCTGTGTTTTAACAAAATCTGTACCATTTATTCATTCTGTTCCTTCTACAAATCTGTTCTAGTCCATTTTATTTCAGCGGTGTTATAAGTTGTCATATTTTCCTCTCCAAAAGCTTTTAATAGTTTTCACATGTGGGCAGGTACCTATGTTTTAAACTAATAGTCCTGCCCAGTTTCCTTTCCAAAACTGCCTGTTATTTTCAGCTTACTTCCAGAGAGCCATTGGTTAGCACAGTTTGCTTATTGCACTGTCTGTGTTACATTCTTTAAAATATAAAATTCTTATTAATTGCTAATTTGCTTTGTGAGCCCTGATGTGAAATATCTAATGTAAGGAAATGAAAGGGCCCTTGAATGCCTTATGATCTGATCAGCCTCATCTTTATTGCAAAGAAAACAAGACCTTCTTCCTATCAGATATGGAAAATGGAAGCCTGTATTTTAACAGGAAAAATGAATCATGCCTCCTCTGTTTAGATTCTATGTGTAAACCTTTGGCAAATGAGAAAATGGATTGGGAGCAATGAAAAGAGGAATAGGTGACTCTCCTCTCTAAAACAAACTGGTTTTCTCTCTGTTCAAATGAACCTTCATGTGCTTTTTTTAAAAAGTAGTTTTGCTCACTTGTTAGAGTAGTTGTTCTTTAAAGTAATTAGCCTTGCAGACGGCCTCCTTGAGCTGTATACAGCAGTTCTAGATAGCACTATCCGTGTACTCCTTGGTCTTTTATGGTAGCCTTGTAATAAATCAGTAGGCATAAGTGGGATAATGAAGTGAAGTCTGTGGTGTGTCTCTGACATTTGACAAAATGGCCTAGATTCTCATTTACACTAAGGCCTCCTTGCTTTGGCAGCGTAATTACATTTACACCCACTTCAAGCCCCACTTTTATACTACTCTGTCATGGTCTTAATGGTATGATAATAAATGAGAATCAGGCCCATTAAGTCTGTACTTTTTTTATTTCCATTGGGCAAAAGTCTATTTACTCTAGCCAAACTTCCAATGACTCTCACGTAGGCGGAACAAAGCCTGTAAGAGGCCCTAGTGTGGGTTTGTTTTTTAACCCCCCTTCCCTCCCCCCCAGTGATCTCTGAAGTGGATTTCTGACTCCCCCAGGCTTCAAGCTGCTCCCCAACTACTTCAGGGTAGACTGTTTTGCCTGGTCTCTCAAAAAAGTCCTGCTTTTCCAATAACAGAAGAGTCCTTGCAGACCAGTCTCAAAATAACGTGGGATTCAGCTTGTTTCCTATATTTCCTAATATATATGATACATTCCTAGCAAGAGACCCGTTCTCTTTGCTGTGAAGGCTCTTTTTCTGGCTCAGACCTTTGTAGGCTCCTTCAGTTCTTGCCAGACTAAGTTCTGCCTCTCAGGCTGCCAATAGAACCATTCTTCTGCTGACCAGAGCCATGCTCTTCGGAACACCCTCTTCTGTAACTGGGTCCAGCGGGAGCATTTCCTGTTTTCCTCTGCCATATTGCGTGCAAGGATTTATATGCCTCATCACAGTCACTTTCACTTCTTTTCTATTCCCCCGATCCCATAGAAAATGTAGGTGTAAGCCAAGCCCACTTCCTTTTTTGCCCGTTCAGTGGCTAGCTGTCATTGTGGCCCTTTGTCTCTGCACGAAGGCGAACTGTGCCTCTTCTCTCCTTGAAGCTATGGGCTCAGTCAGTATTTTGCTCTCCTGGAACCAGCCTGTCTGAGAGGTGCCTCTGAGGTGGTTCTGCAGGTATATTCGCTCAGAAGTCAGGGCAGTTTGCCTCTCTCTGAACACACCAGTGTGTGCTTCCATAAACTTCTCTACTTAATCACACCCACAACCGAGGTGGCTGCAGTGCCATCCTCCAGCCTCCAAATACTTCACTTTATGCATGGACAAAACTGCTGATTATGACCTCATCCATACTTTATATTATTACCTTTAAATAATCCATTGATTTAATGCTAAAGCATCCCTGTCCCTGATTCCTACCGTATCACAATGCTAGCTGCAATATTTATCAGCGGGGGGGTTGCCCACTGAAATTCTGCATTCAAGACACTGCGTGACTCTGCTGAGCCCCCTCATGTTGCTATTGCCTTTGCCCTCATCTCCCACCTACTACTCCTTGTGTTTTGGTCTCCTCTTGTTTTTGTCAGAGCCTCGTTTCTAGGCTATTCAGAGTCAAGGACTCTGGGTGAAAATGTTGAAAAGTAAAGTGAGCGAGGAGCCGTAATCCCATTTTCAAAAGTGACTTGTGTGTTAGAGAGCTTAAGTCCCAGTGATTTTTCAATAAGAACCAGGCTCCTAAGTAGCTAAGTCACTTTTATAAATGGGATGTAGGCGCCTAAGTCACGTAGGCACTTTTGACCTCATTACCCTGTGTCTTTTGTTTTGTAAAGCTCTGTACACATCTGCAGAGCTCTGTAAGGAAATGTTCTGTATTGTGGAAAGAATCTAGAATAATTTCTTCGGCACTTCATCTTCAAAAACTGTGGCAAAGCTCCAGTTTGCTGAGGTTATTCATGTTTCTCTTTTTATTTCAGCCAAGACAGCACCCATTTATACTGCCGCCTATGCATGTCCAGTGCGGAGAACACTACACTGAAACAAACAACTCACAAGGTATTTAGGGTGTACCTTTTTCCTTTCAGAGATCTGCAGCTTAATGTGCCAGCAAAGGGGCTCTTGATCATCAGATCTTGATTTCCAAAATGCAGTCCTGGTCAAATGGGAGTTAGTATCACTCCTCCACAATAACTTCATAGTTAAGGTTGCAGCAGGGTTCTGTTTAAAGCCCAATTTTCAAACTTATCTAAAATACACATGCACCGTTAGATGGGCTTGGAATGTGGCATGCCAGTTCAGTGCAGTGGGTAGAGTTTATAGGGCATGTCTGGGGTCAGTTGGTCAAGGGGTTGCCAAGTTACAGGTCTCCCCAAATGGCCTGATTTTAAAATTGCAACTTTCTTATAGTGCTTTTTTCTGCAGATCCAGTGAAACTGGGGAGGTGAGGGGGGAGTAGATCCACATAGCTGGTATATTACTTGATGGCCTTTTCTCTGTTCTAGTTCCTGTCACCAGGGTCAAACTTCAGAATTGTGTGAATAAAAAGTTGTATTTTTTGGCTCTGTGCAGGGTTAGCCTCAGAACTGTTCTCTGAGGAAAATATGGTGGCTGGAATCTAAGGTGTAGAGAGAGATTCCCACAAAATATCCTGTAGCCTAGTGCACTGGCCTGGGCATGAGGAGACCATAAGTTCTGCTGACGTCTGTTTGTGTTTCTGTGCATTGTTATTGACACACCTCTACACTAGGGAGACACAACTATTATTTCTCACCACCCCTTTTGGCAGATGAGATGATGGAGATGTTGCACCAAGTCACTTCCACTAGAGCTGGAAACAGCCCAGGCCTCTAATGTGGCAGACTGCATCTCGTTCACTTAACCACACTCTCTTTTGAAATGATTTTCTCAAAGCTATGTCTGCATACTGTGAGAGACACAGCTGAAGTGCCCTAGCCAATTGTCACGCATGATGGAATCTTAGTGTAGTGTTTGTGTGTCGTGAATGAGGCAGGGGTGTAGATAGGAATCGACTGAGATGCAGCAGGAGTGGACTTTACCACAGACTTCTCATGTGATGTTGGACAATTGCTTACACCAGAATCATTGGAGGTGGCCATCCTTCTGAGTCCTGTGAGATTTAGGAGGAAGGATAGTCCTATGGTTAAGACACTCAGCTGTGACTCAAGAGATCTGATTTTTTTATTCCTGCCTGTACTGCAAACTCCCTTTGTGACCTTGGCTGAATCATTTAATTTCTGTGCTTCAGTTACCTGATCAGTAGGCTGTTTTGGTTCCTCGGGGGCATGATCAGCCTGTTTTGGCTTGCTTAGAGTCCTGGAGACAACAGATTGGTTTGATGTTGAGGAACCTGCTACAGCCCTGGAGGAACTTCTCCCCCCTTTCACAATATCTGCCCGCTTGGGGCAGGGAGGGCAGTACATCAAGAGGAGACCTAAGGGAATATTCAGTGGTACAGTAGCTCTGGGGCCTAGTGCTGCCAATGGTGGAATGTATCTTTAGATAACAGCTGTGAACCTGCTGAGAGGCAGATGGATGGAGAGGGCAGAGAGAGTTCCACAACTACTTCCTGCGCCTTAGGAACCTCCCAGCGAGTCTGGATCTGAACTGTTTCGAAGCCTGGGCATGATTTGGATCTAGAATGTAGGTTCAGCCAATCATACAGACAGGGTTCAACCTCCAAAATATTTCCAAAATGCAGGAGTGTTTGAATCTGGAGTTTTGTTTTGATCCCATTCTGACACAATTAACAAACTACAGTGTGTAGGTGTATTACAGCATTTTGGACTTTTGGGGTGGGGGAGGGGGCAGGACAGAAAGAGCACAATGGATTCTGGATTGTGAGGCAAGGTAGAGAAAAGCTTGGGGTATTGGGTCCAGGAGTGGCAAAACAATCTGAAAGGCCAGTCCTGAGCCCACACATCCGGCATGGATGTACACAAGGCTGCCTCTTAATCACTGGTTCAGAATGCATTTGAAGTTTTGGTGGTTTTATTTAAGAAAGGTTTTGAGGATCATGACATTGCATGTGCCCTTGTTGGTTAAAGTGTCCTTTTCTTTATCTCTACCATACACAGACAGCATTTTCCATGGAAATGAAGAAACATTCTATTGTAGATCTCAGACCAGCTTGGACAGGTGCCCCATGGACTTCAGCTACTTAAATGGTAATGGGCCAAATGGCAGTATGTGCAGTGCCCACAGCATGAACTCTCTCAACCGTTCACAGAACTTCGTTCAGGCGTCTCCAATGTCCTCCAATCTCAGCATCCCAGGAAGTGATATCATGAGAGCAGACTACATCCCCAGCCATAGACATAGTGCCATCATAGTGCCGTCCTACAGGCCAACGCCAGACTATGAAACTGTCATGAGGCAAATGAAGAGGGGGGTTATTCACATGGATAGTCAAAGTCAATCTTTAAGGAACCTCAATATTGGAAATACACATGCTTACAACCAACCAGAAGACCTGGTTTACAGCCAACCTGAAATTCGAGAGAGACATCCCTATACTGTTCCTTATGGGCCGCATGGTGGTTATAACAAACCTGTTGCCCCATCTGACCAAATGAACCCTAATAATGCTGTGCAGAATAAGGCAGCAGCCAGTGCCATATCCCACACAGTTAGCACGCCAGAACTGGCTAACATGCAGCTGCAGAGCAGTCAAAGCTATAGTACTGTCCACATGTTAAATAACTATCTTTTCAGGCCACCACCTCCATATCCACGTCCACGTCCTGCCACCAGCACGCCTGACCTAGCGAGCCACCGTCATAAATATGTCAGTGGCAGTAGCCCTGATTTGGTTACTCGTAAGGTCCAGCTCTCAGTGAAGACATTCCAAGAGGACAGCTTGCCAGTGGTTCATCAGTCACTCCAGGAGGTTAGCGAGCCACTCATGGCAGTCAAGCATCATGCAGCTTTGCACAAGCGCCATAGTTTGGAGGTCATCAGCAATATGGTACGTGGTATAGAAGCTATGGCTTTAAAGACTTTAAATGCCCCTCTGCCACGTAGAAACACCTTGCGAGAGCAGGTGCAGCCAGAAGAGGCAGCGCAGATGGAACACGCGGTTCAGCAGCACCCTTGCTACCATCACAAGAAGACGTTCTCGAGTGCCACGATGCTGATACACAGCAGTGAAAGCGAAGAGGAAGAAGAAGCTTCAGAATCAGTGTCACAGATAGCACCGCTCCATGAAAATGTGGAATATAGTGCTCAGTTGCAAGCTGCTTTGGCTAGAATACCAAATAAACCTCCTCCTGAGTATCCCGGGCCAAGGAAAAGTGTTAGCAATGGAGCCCTGAGGCAGGACCAAGTAAACATTTCAGTGGCTGTAGCCAGGGCCAAGGCCATGAGGCCAGGGCCTACCAAGGCCATTAGCGTGTCTCGGACTGATCAAATGACAATGAATGGGGCCTCACTTGGACCATCTATCTCAGAGCCTGACCTCACAAGTGTAAAGGAGAGGGTCAAGAAAGAACCAGTGAAGGAAAGGCCTGTGTCCGAAATGTTTTCTATCGAGGACAGCATTATAGAAAGAGAGATGATGATGAGGGTAAGTATCTTTCTCTAATGCAGAGGCTTCTTTGAACCAAAGAACCAACCTGTTTTGTTTTTTTTAATATCCCAAAATGCACAACTGAAAACTGTTATAGCCTAAACAATGAGGAATGTAAAACAGCCTTATGCAGAAAAAAGAGTTTTTGACGGTCATAGGATAGCTGGAAGGTAAGAGTGAGTAAAAAATGCAGGGTCTGATTCTCCATTGCCTGGCTGCTTGTGCAGTCATTTAGAGCTCTGTAATTTGAATGGGTTTGCAATGCCATCACCAGTACGAGTGGAGAATTCTGGTTCAGTAGCATATTCTCCCCACTTTGCAGGGATATAAAGCAAAGCACTGCATAATATGCAGTGTTAGTGCGGAGAATCCAAACCATGACATTTAGATGGCTTATCACTTAGGATTGCTGCTTTTACATTGATGTAGCGTATACTTATTTTATGAGACTGAGTTTTATGAGGAGTAAACTTCGGTGGCAATAGAATTTGGATTGCTGCTTTTCTAAACTAGTGACTTGTTGCACAACAAAAGGAACAATACTGCTAACTTGAGGAAGTAGAGATGCTGTTTTTTCTTTCCCTGAGGTATGGGGAATGGGAATCCTTAAATTCTCATTCAGTTTCCTAGAACAAACCGATGATGCTGATTCAACTGCTTTTTCCTGCACAGCTGCACACTACAGCAGTTTTCAGATGAATGTACTAGCCCACAACACGCAGTTAATGAATTATGCACATACCTGGCGAGCAGAGTGTTTAAAGAGATTAAACTGATAAGAGTGACTAACTGTGAAATACTTTTTAACAACTTAATTTAGACATCCTGCATTACTGCCATGCCTTTTTGAAGAGACTTATTATTGAGTGTTCATCTCTTCTGCTTGTTGTAGGAATACATAATATGTTCCCTAAAATATAATCTAATAAATGGACAAATACAAAGTCTGGTCTTCCATAGACCTAAATGATAGTCAGCAGGGAAGGTATCAAAATATAAAGACTTAGTCATGGGCTTAACTTTATAAACTGTGAATAGTCCTATTGAAATCAAGTTAGGCAAGTACATATCTCTTTTTCAGGATGGGTTCTAGAGCAGAAGAAACATTGAATCCATTTACATTAATGTGATGTCCAAGTGATCTGGGGGTGTTTAGAAAATAATACTAGCTTTGCTGTTAATAATCTTCACGGCAAGGCTATTAGTCAGCAAATAAAGTGAGGTTACTTAATATCTACATTTAGAATGAAACACTTCACTATACCCCAGGGGATTTTTAAGCTTGTTTAGAAAGCTGCCATTTTGTTATTGCTGATTCTTGCATTTGAAGTAATGATTTAGAAGTAGTGAAAACAAAATTATTTGTTAGTCTGAAAGTTGACAGGCCCTCTATTTCCTTTGAGTTCTGCTAGAACAGGGGCGGGCAAACTTTTTGGCCTGAGGGCCGCATCGGGTTTCCAAAATTGTATGGAGGGCTGGTTAGGAGAGGCTGTGCCTCCTCAAACAGCCAGGCATGGCCCGGCCCCACCCCCTACCTGACCCCTCCTGCTTCTCGCCCCCTGACGGCCCCCCTGGGACTCCTGCTCCATCCAACCCCCCCACCATTCCCTGTC